AAAAATGGAATTTTTGCTGAGAACGTTCTCCATGCTTTACCAATTCAGAGTCATGGTGAATTTAAAAGCATTTAATATTGTGGAAGTCACACCCCCCCCACTCCCAGAGAAGGAAATATTTTGGGGGATATTAAAAAGGCAGAATATTGTATTTCCCCAAAGGAATAGAGTAATGGATAAAGAAAATCTTAAAAGACAGAAACCAGCCCCAGTCCCTCTCCCCCAGGCAGAGGCCAGCTCTGTAGAAATGCATATTTGGTAATCCTATTGAGAAAGGTTGGGGGCAGGAAGGCTGGAGCTGAGGAGATAAGAAAAACAAAGAGGGCAGGAAACATGACCTTTAGGATATAATAGGATTAACCCACCACTACCAAAAGGGGCACACTCAAGACTCAGGTCAAAGTACATGACACAGGAAATACAAAGCCACAGGAACAACTCCAAACACAAAAACCCAAGAAGGTATAAAAACCCACCACTCCCAGCAACATGTGGCCAGCTGCTCCAAAGCCACATGTCTTGTGGTTCTGCTCTTCAATAAACTACAATCTTCTTTCTAAAGCAGTCTCCATTTTGCTTATTTCCGGCTTGGACTGGACTCTGAAGATTTTTCTTTCAACAATATACTAAAGAAAAGAAGAAATAGGGGAGAAATGATAGTAGTATCCAGTATTTGAGGGGCTGCCACAAAGAAGAGGGGATCATGTTATTCACCAAAGCACCAGAGGGCAGGACAAGAAACAATGGTTGGAAACTGATCAAAGAGAGAAGCAACCTGGAATTGAGAAAGTTCCCGACAATGAGAACAATTAACCAGTAGAATAGCTTGCCCCAGAAATTGTGGGTGTTGCATCACTGGAGATTTTTCAAAAGAGGCTAGACCAGGGGTATCAAACTGCCACCCCGTGGGCTGGATGCATCATGCCAAAACCGCACCCACCCCATTGCCGGCAATGGGGAAAAAGTCATGAGACATCGCAACACATCACGTGACGTCACGAGTTTGACACCCATGGGCTAGACAGTCACTTGTCTGAGATGGTATAGGTTCTCCTGCTTGAGCAGGGGGCTGGATTAGAAAACTTCTAAGGTCCCTTCCAGCTCTATTCTATTCTATTATTTTCTGATTCTGCTCCATAAGGGTTACCAACATTTTGACAGAATTAATCTTTGTCTAATCTTCTGAGGTCTTAACTGCTAGGTTGGAACAGTAATAAATTCCAGTGCTTAACAAGTATTATGAAGTATAACAACAGGGAAAAAACTGCCGAGAACTGCTGGTTTCACCTATTTATTTTTATTTTAATTCATTCTCATGTCATATCTTGCTTAAACAACTTGCTCTATACAGTTTTGCTAATATCAAAGTTTGATTTTTATTAAGACCTACAGCAGAAAAAAATACCTCTAAATACACTTGTAAAGAAACAAAAGCATTGTTCAAGGTGAGGCAAGTTAATACCTGGACAGCATTAAGCATTATGTTTAGAGAAAGATTCGTTACGTGTTGAGCAAAGAACAAGGTCCCAAATAACAGAAAAAGGTATTCCTAGGCTTGCAAATCAAGTCACCTATTGACTTATCATTTGCACACAAAAGTGACCAAAGTGCACTGAGGTTCATTACTTCATGGTCTGTGACACAGATTATTATATTATAAAAACATGCCAAAAACCAAAACACATGTGTTCAAGAAATTACTAACTTCTTGTAATGATAAACTGACAGGGAGTTTAATGGGAGACAGTTCTTAGGAAAGAGAACACAGTTATTAATGTCTTCAAGGTTTAACTAGTTTTATCTGCTTCCCAAGTTAGAGTTTAACACAGTTTCTCTGTACAGTGTTTTGAACAGTGTTGCTTATATAACTGCATATAACCCACAAAGCCTACATTTTCTTCTATGTTTTTATTTACTGTAAAAAATAAAGGATTAATTCAAAATATTACAAGCAGTAAAAATATCTTGTTAAAATGAATTAAGTTACCACCATGCTATTAGCTTTATAAGAAAGAGGTATCTACCATTGTATGCACATATTCTGATTCAGAAGCTTCATTTACAAATCTAGGAATCCAGCCTTAATCACCTATCAAAGTTTTTTTAATAATTAACAAACTGAGGGGGGAAAACATATCATAGTGATCCAGCTTACACAATTTGAAAGAACAATCCAATTACTGCAGGCAGATAGGGCACATGAAAAGAACTTTAGAGTTTGTAAACTAATTTTAAATGTATTCTTATGATAGCAATTATGCATGTACTTGATACTGAATAATTCCAGCTAAAATCTATAATTACAAAATTATCTCTGATAGAATAAAATTGCAACACCTTCGGTTACCCACATTCTTCCCCCGACTCTGTAGAATAAAAGGAAGTTGAGAATGAAGCAATCAATGACTGGGCACATTCCTTTTAAGGCCAGGTGGTCTCTCAATAAAACAGTATCTCTCTCTCTCACACACACACACACACACAGTGTGTGTGTGTGTGTGTGTGTGTGTGTGTGTGTGAGAGAGAGAGAGAGAGAGAGAGAGAGAGAGAGAGAGAGAGAGAGAGAGAAGGCATCTCCTTGCAGCTTTTAACTGTAAAGTCCATGGATAAAAGCTAACGCTAAAGGATATAGTTCAGATTCAAACCATTGTAAACTTTTTATTACTATGACCAATATATTTAAAATTCAAAATTATCTCTCAATTTAAGTTTACATTTTAATTCTTCTTTAATTCTTTTTGTCTTTCTGTGTATCCTTTCAAGTCAATACTGATTCCTAGGGACAGTCTGGCTTAGTTCCTTCATTTTCTTGGCAAGATTTTCAAAAGGGGTTGCTCCTTGTCATCTTTTTAGGGCTAAAAGTGACTAGCCCAAGGCTACCCCACATAGCAACATGCTTAAGGCAGGGCTAGAATTCATTGTCTCCCAGTTTCTAGCTTGCCTTAACCACTACACCAAACTAACACTCTCTTAAATTCATTACAAATAATTAATGTCATATAAATATAGCCATACTAATAATTATGCCTGTCCCTCTCTCCCAATGAAAATATTAAACAACCTAAAGATGAAAGAGCAACAATTGTTTTAAAATGCTGGTGAAATGTCTGTAAGATTTATGTGACATTCCTTAGGACTATCTTCTCTAAGTAGAAACTATTAGATAGATAACCTTTACTGTCATTTTTTTTACTGTGGACACAATGGCACACATTAAAAATGAAAGCAAACATATACTGTTGGGAGATGTTTTGGTACTCATCCTGAAAGATAACTATGGGATGGGAATCCAAAACAAGGCAGTCTCCCACTTTGGAAGAATTTTACTCTCTTATTTAAGGCTGCCCCTCCAACCTTTTGTCTTTTAGAGAGCAGACAAAGATCTTCTTCTTCCATAAAGCTTGGGGGAAATGAATTTTATGGAATATACCAGCCAATATTTAAAACATTTTCAATTTTTAATATGTTGGATTTTTACAATGTGCTGTTGTAAGCTACCCAGAGTCAACCAAATAGGTAGCATATAAATAACTGTAATAAATATAATGTTATTTGAAAAATTGAAAAAATTAAAATTATGAGTCAAATTTTGACACAAAGGCTAAGAATTTTATGCCAGAAAATGGAGATTAAAAAAAATCACTGACAGAAAGACATCATAATCAGCACCTGGTAGTGGAGGAGGAACATGACAAATGATAATAACGTGTCTGCAACAATTTGTTTTCATTTTCATTTGTTTTTCTCCCCTTAGTGGGCTAAAAAGAAACAAAAGAAGTTGGATGATGAAACAACATAAAATTAAGGCTTTTCTCCATAGCAAAATATAAATCCAACTCCCAATGAATATATAACATTGCAGTACATTAGAAATAAGATTTAATAAGCAGCATTCAAAAATCAAAAATTTGCTAATAGTTACTCAAATAGTTAACTATTCATCTAACAAAACTAATGCACTAATGATTGGGATTCACAGTAGATTTACAATATAAATTATATTTGCAAAAGCACTGTATTTTAATTATTTCAAAAACCAAATCTAAAATTTGTGCCAAATTAAAATGGATAGAAGCAACAACCAGTTTTTATATTATCTTTCACAGGGTATTTCTGTTTCATAGGGTTAATGGGTTTTATATTTAAATCCTATTGTTAACGTGATTTATATGAAACTGTTTTAACCATTATTCTGGTATGTGCATTAGTTGGCGCATATGTTCATTCAGACAATATGTGGGATATTAGTTTTTTCTATGCAAACTCCTACAATAGGAGTTCAATGAATAACCTTTTACAAACTTTAGCAACCCAGTGTATTTCTATAGGTCAGTATTGAAAAGATCATCTTCCAATTATTATCAGATAGAAAGCCCAAGCATACATACCAGTTTAAGGATTCAAGTCTTTTACCCATGGTTAATCCCAGTACTTTCAAATAAGATGGGGTAATAAACTTTGACTTGAACAAAACAACTATATATCTGCTACAGCAACATATTTGCATTGAAATGATGTGTTTGAGTGAAAAGGTGGAGAGGGGGAAATCAAACATCCCTGCCAGCATGTTTCAATGTCATTATAAACCATGTTTTACTTAACTGAGCCAAGCACATTAATTTTCACAACTCTAAAAGAATAAAGTATACCAGCTAAGACCATATAACATGCTTGGCTAAAATGTGTCAGGGTATTCAGCATGTTATACCACTCGTTTTATTTCAATAACGAACGATCTAACTATGTTAGCATGTTTCAGTATAACTAACATCTGCTGGTATATCTCTAGTTAAAAGAAAGGATGCAAACCAGCAGTTTCCCCAGCTGTAAGATTTCCAGTTTGGGCGAGGCACACCCTCTATCCCGAAATCCTCACCCCAAAGCTGTTCTTGGTGGTCTCTCCCGATATACAAGCACTCTGTATGCGGGCAGAATGCTCTCATCTCTTGCTGACTTCGGAATTCTACGCTCTTACGTACGGCTCTGGGTTTCTTAGGTACCTGATGGAGCATCTCCGCGGGGAGCTGGGACGCCCTGAACAATTCTGCCACTTTACTGCCTCCGACAGTAGTGGTGCCCAATCCAGGTCCCACCTCGGGAGTAGACTGGCCGCCGCCGCAAAGCGAAAAGAGCTCGGAGAAATATTTCTGCTCGTTCCCCGCCAAAAAGAGTGCAGAGGTTCCTGCGGCGGCGAGCCCAGAGAGAGCTGTTCCCGCCCGCTCCATTGCAGGGAAAGGGCGTTAATCGCCGTTCTGAGGCGAGCACAAAACTCCTCTAGAGGAGGAGGAAAGATCCTCCGTCTTTGCGGCGCGGAAGGTACCGCCCCTCTGGCGGCGGCGGCTCTCCAGCTGACCTGCCTTTCCCCAGTGCGGAAGAGCGCTATTTCTGCAGTGCTGCCCTTCAGGCGGGAGGAGGGCGGGAAAGAGCGAAGACGAATTTCCACGCGTCTTCTTCCTTCTCCCTTTCTACGGCGGCAGTTTTCCCGACGGAAGAGAAAGGAGAAAAGCTTGGGGGAGGGGAGTCGAGGGACTGTCGTGACTGCGTGAATCTAACAGGACGAAATATTAGAGCTCTGCTGCAAGGATGATGTTTCGGACTCGCTGCGTCAGAGCATTTTCAGAATAATAATTTGGGGTTCCAATTCATGCCATGGTTACGCAACTATAAATAAAAATGAGATCGGCGCAGCTGTGAGGAGAAAAGAAATATTTATTCCTAAAAGCAAACAGGAATAAAACTGCAGAGAAATGGAGTGCAACAACAGACCTTTTATAGGGCAGCTGGTCCTGGTGTGGAAGTATCTACGTGCTGATTCTTGGGCAGGGGTCTTCAAACTTGGCCCTTTTATAACTTGTGGACTTCAACTCCCAGAATTCCTTAGCCAGCCACGCTGGCTGAGAAATTTTGGGAGTTGAAGTCCACAAGTAATAAAAGGGCCAAGTTTGAAGACCCCTGTTCTAGGGTGACACTTCAAGGGTGTGGAAATTGGCACACATCCCTAGAGAATGGAATATTTTGGGGAATATTAAAAAGGCAGGATAGAATATTTCCCCTAAAGGAGAAATGGGGGAAAATCTTGAGGCAGAAACCAGCCTAGTCTCCCTCAAGCAGAAACTGAGGAGGCCAATCTTTAGAAATGCAAAATGTGGTAATCCATTCAGGAAGACTTGGTCAATCTATTCATAAGCAAAATGCCTTCAGCCACAGCTCCCACAGAAGACTGCAGCTGATGGGATTACAGGGGTGTCAAACTGCCGCTTGCAGGCCGATTGCATCATACAGAGGCTGCGCCCACCCCAGCTCTGGCAATGCAAAAAAAGTCATGATATGTCACAACACATCAGGTGATGTGGTGAGTTTGACATCCACGGATTAGAAAAACAAAGACTCCTAAAAATTACATTTCCCCCATCCAGGACAGGACCTCCAAGCAAGGATTAGTCGGCTTGGACCTGTTACAAGGTCCATGCGTAGAGTTTAGGCGTGGCTATGCTTATAAGCAGGTTTCCTCACTAGCTGGCTTGTATCCTGACGATGATGGCAGATGTTAGCCATCGAAAGCTTGATTTTATTTATTAAAACCTTGGTGTTTTATTTCCTGGTGATCGCTTCCTTTTTTACTGAAATGTATGTACCCAGGAATCGCTATTCTTCAATTTTTAATGTAATTTTTAATATAGATATATAGATATTGTTTTCTGAGGTTTTCGAGGGTGTTTGTATGTAGGTCTTTGGTTACTCGAGTCTTCTTCCGCGTAAAATTGGAAGTGTCTTGGCGACGTTTCGATGAAGTCTCATTCGTCATCTTCAGGCTGGTGCTTTCAGCGTCATGCTTCTAGGAGCAATCGTCCTAGAAGCACAAAGCCGAAAGCACCAGCCTGAAGATGACGAATGAGACTTCATCGAAACGTCGCCAAGACACTTCCAATTTTATGTGGGAGAAAACCCGAATAACCAAAGACCTACATATATATATATTAAATTCATTTAGTGACCATTCAAAATTACAACTGCCCTGAAAAAAATGACTTATGACCATTTTTCACATTTACAACTGTTACAACTTATGACTATTTTTCACATTTACAACTAAGGTCACATGATCAATTTCAGATGCTTGGCAACTGATATTTATGGCAGTTGCAGGGTCCCAGTGTTATGTGATCACCTTTTGTTATCTTTTGTCAAGCAAAGTCAATGAGGAAGCAGATTCACTTAACAACCATGTTACTAATTTCCCAACTGCAGTGATTCACTTAACTGTGGCAAGAAATGGGACAAAATTCACTAATAAATGTCTCACTTAGCAACAGAAATTTTGTGCTCAGACTTCTGGTCTTGCGCAGTAGCACAGCAGTCGAGAGGTTCAGGGCTCTGTGCATTTCAACTGATTTTCTTCCTGTTAGGGGACCCTAAATGGGCCAGAAGCCGCCCCGACAGGTTTCTTCTTGGTGCTAGTGACGGGTTTCTCTTTCTTCTCCTTTTTGGGATCTTCCACGAGTCGTTGTCAGCCTCCCTCCTACATTCGGTAGGTGACTGGAGCTCAGGACCCCACAAGATTAAAGAGAGTTTGAGTCTTGGGTTAATGTCATGGTTCCGATAAATGAAACTCATTAAAAGAGCTTCAAGGCAAAGATTTCTTCCTTAAAGAACATTTTATTCAGGAAACAAAGTATTGGCACTTACATAGTTAAACCCAAGACTGAAATTCCCTCCCCCAGATACAAAGTAACAAGTTGCAATTCCCACCCAAACAAACTGTCAGAAATCACATTCTCCAATTAACACAACATGTAGGCTTTTCTTCCCAGCTCCTCAGCCCACCAAAATTTTATCAAGCAATGCCCTTGAGTTCCCACACAGCTGCAGTTGTTATGGCTAACTAAACCCTCAAGCATTTATCCCATCCTCCCTTCTACCTCTAAACTTCAAAACAATAAAAGGCACTCTAAAAGCAAAGGTAACATGGCTGCTGATTCTCAGTTGTCATAGTATTGACATCCATTGTCACAGCGTTGACACTAATATGATTTATGCTGTTTGCTTAGCTAGCATCCTATGACTATCACTAAGTGTTGCATCTTATGATTTATGATGAATGTGTTGCATTTATGATTTATGATGAATATATTTTTATGTTGATTATGATCATGATTTATCACTATTGCTTGTATGTACACTGAGAGCTTATGCACCAGAGACAAATTTCTTTTGTGTCCAACCACACTTGGCCAGTAAAGAATTCTATTCTATTCTATTCTATTCTATTCTATTCTATTCTATTCTATTCTATTCTATTCTATTCTATTCTATTCTATTCCTGGTTCCTCACTTTTTGGAAATGTAAGTTCTGTTTCTAAAAACCTTTTTAGTTTTTTATGAAAACATGTAGATTCCTCAGTAAGAAGGAAAGACTAGCAGTGTTCCAATATCTCAGGGGTTGCCACCAAGAGGGAGTCAAGCTATTCTCCAAAGCGCCTGAAGGCAGGACAAGAAGCAATGGATAGAAACTAATCAAGGAGAGAAGCAACCTAGAACTAAGGAGAAATTTCCTGACAGTTAGAACAATTAACCAGTGGAACAACCTGCCTCCAGAAGTAGTGGATGCTCCAATACTGGAAGTTTTTAAGAGACTGGACAGCCATTTGTCTGAAATGGTATAGGGTTTCCTGCCTGAGCAGGGGGTTGATCTAGATGACCTCCAAGATCCCTTCCAACTTTATTATTATTGTTATTGTTGTTATGACACCAGTGCAGATAAAGATGCAGCTATCTATATTTGAATCTTCCGCACCTTATAAACGTTGTTAGTCATCGCTTTTAAAATGCATCTTATCAAATTGTATACCGTATATTCCGGCGTATAAGGCGACTGGGCGTATAAGATGACCCCCCAACTTTTGAGGATTTTCAGGGTTTAGAAAGTCATGTTATACGCCAGAAAATACAGTACAATATTGAATTTCTGTTTATAGATGAGCACAATAGGAGCTCCTTTGCTGCTAGGAAGCTTTGTCCTGTCAGTGCTTATTTCTGTAAAAAAAATAGGGTTGGCCACTAGGGGGCAGATTGGTTTTAAATTCAGAGAACAGCTACCCGTATATTCCTGCGTATAAGACGACCCCTGACTTTTGAAAAGATTTTCAGAGTTTAGAAAGTCGTCTTATACACTGGAAAATACGGTATTATTTTAAATTATTAACTGAAAAAAGTGAGTATAGTTGTAACTCTGAATGGATGGTTGATGCATTTGAAACAATTATATACTATGCTAGAAAAAATATTCAATGCATTTTAAGTTTATGTAGATTAATATAGTGCAATAATGTAAATGGTTGAATTTCAAATTCTGACTAAATTGTCTTTTACTATTAATTTTTTAACAATAAAAACTGCAATTGTATGGCAGGAACAGAAAACTTTTGTTGGTTTTCAATTTTAATCATACCTGATTATTAACAAATTTATATGAGCCTGATTGGAATTGCAGCCTAGGTTCTAGAAAACCATACTACCTACCTACTACTCTATCCTTAGTCTTTTTATTTATGGATATTTAAGTATACACACCTTGAGTTTTTAAAAATCATATTGCCAGAAAACTTGCCATGTTTACTAGAGTGTGCTCAAAGTTTATAATTCTGTAGCTGAGGAATTCTGGGAGCTGAAGTCCACAAGTCATAAAAGGGCCAAGTTTTTAAAAAATATTTCATTGGGTTTTATAAGGATAGGAAAGGGATGGGATCATTAGGGGTATAGGAAAGGGTAAACACAAGGGAATTGGGGGTGGATACAACAAAAAATCCACGCTTAACAAGCAAGTTACCGTCTGGGTATCAAAATCATATAAACATCACTTATATAGTACTAAACCAGCGATTCTCAACCTATGGGTCGCGACCCCATTTGGGGTCGATCGACCATTTCACGGGCATCGCCAAGCAAGTCTGTCCGCCATTTTTTTCCCCTTTTCCGGCAGATGCCTTACCTCCCTTGGGCTGGGCCAGTTGGTGGCCCAGCCGGTGGTCGGCCTGCTCCATCTCTGCCGCTTGCCAGCTACGTCTCGGACGGCACAGGGGGCGGCACCATGCATGCACGGTGTTCCCGTGCAGGGAAAGTCCTCAACTTATGACCGTTTTAGTCCTCGACTTACGACCGGTTTAGTCCTCGACTTATGACCGGTTGGGGGTCGCGGCATTAAAAAGGTCGAGAACCACTGTACTAAACAATTATAATAAACTGGGTTAACAATAACCATAAGAATAAAAGATATAAATAATATTCATCTTACTAAATAACCATAATTAATAAAATATTAATAAGTTATA